AAAAAAAAAAAAAAAAAAAGTTAAACATATATCTACCATGCCATTCCGCCCTTAGGTATTTACAGAAGTAAAAAGAAAATGTATCCATACAAAGACATGAATGTTCACAGCAGCTTTATTAATAATACCCCAACCTCAGAACAACCCAAATGTACATTAATAGATGAATGAATATGTATCACCAACTGTGATACATCCATACAATGGAATACTACCCAACAATAAAAAGGAATGAACTCTCAATACCTACAACAATGTTGTTGAATCTCAAATTAACTATGCTGACGGATGGTTTCACAGGTGTATGTACACACACATATATATGTCAGAACTTATCAAACTATACTTTGTGCAGTACTGCACATCAACTATACCTCAATAAAGCTATTTTAAGAAAGAATGAACTACTGATACACACATTAACACAGATGAGTGTGAAAAACATTACGCTGAGCTAGACACAAAAAACTACATACATTTTGTTCCACTTATATGAAACTCTTAAAAAAGATAAATCTAATGTGTAGTTACAGAAAGCAGACCATTGTTTCCCTGAAACAGGATTGGGGGAGGGGGAAATGAGGGGCATTAAGGATCAACTGGGACTAAGTACAAGGGAACTTTCCAGAGTGATGGAAATGTTCTGAATCTTCATTATGTTTGTGGTTACATAGGTGTTTATAAATCAAAACCTATCAAAACATACATTAAAACTAGTGCATTTTATAGTAGGTAAATTATACTTCAGTAAGGTTAATTCTTTAAAAAATACCTTTGCCTTAACTTGTTCAGAGAATATCACATTATAATAAAGATAAGACTAGCAAAACTGGATTATCTGTACAAAAGGCAAGATCTTTCTAAGGTTAGGATAAGAGATATGCACATACCTAAAATTTTTTTTCCTAAATTTCATTTATAGGGCTGGATGGTACTATTTCCCATAATGATCAAAAGCCCACTGTGCAGGAGGCAAAATAACCCAACAATTTTGTCTTCCAGCTTTTATTCCCACATTGCTAAAAGTAGTGGCAGAAAGAGGAGATAACTCAATATGACACAGCCACTGATTTACAGATACAAGTTAATTCTGTCTCTTGCTCCCACAGGGGCTACTCTAAACCTACACTCTACCTTCAAGTTAGAAATCACCTTTCCCCCATCATTCTCATCGAACTAAGAAAAAACACTGGCTTCTTTATTCTGCCTCCCAACTCCAAGGTACATTCCTGTTTTATCTTTTCCTCTCTTCAAGATTATTCTCTCCTGTCACTTTGTAGCTATACTCCACTAATTATTCCCTCTCCTGTTGCAGGAATTTATTTCCCTCTGTGGTTCTTCACATTCATCCTACAAACACTCAAGATGTTCTTCCTCTTGACCCTATAATATCCTCCCTTCAGCTACTGCCCTCTTTTTCCATGGATATCAAGCTTTCGTAAGACGTAGTGTATACTGCTATCCATTTGCCCTTCAACCAGGTTTAGTGTGGCACCCTCTGGCAAAAAGTCAAGCCTTTTCTCACTGCTAAATATAACAGCCTCTTATCACCCCAGAACATCCTTGGTCTCTTTGCCACATATGCCCCTGCTGATGACACCCCACTCTCCCTGGCTTCACAGACATTCTTTGACTAGCTCCTCCTCACCCTCCAGTGTTTTTTTTTAATGTGGGCACCCCCTGAGTACTTTTGTTGGTCCTTTTCTCCCTCTCCAGATGCTTTCTCCTTGGCAGGTTTATTCACACTTGCAGTTTTAATGACTTAGGAGTGTAACAGCTTTTAGCCCCCATTTTTTCTTACTACTTAAATGCTGTAACATTCACATAATGCTGAAGAAAGAACAATCTCCTTAGCATAGCTTGTGAGGTACTTTACAGGTGGTTACATCTGACCATTCTTAGTTTCTGAGCCAATCTATGTAACTCTCAAAATACGTCTTTCCTTTTTTGGTAAACAGTTTTGTTCACCTATGATATACACACAGAAAAGTACAGCATCCTAAGTGTACAGTTCACAAATGATCAAAGAAAACACGCTTATGTAATCACCACTCAACTCAAGAAATATAAAACATCACCAGTAATCCAGAAACCCTCCTTGTCACTACCAATGCCTCTTTCCTAAAGTATCTTAAACTCTAAACACACTAACCTATGCCTCAATATTCTATACTTTCATTACTGGACCTTCTTGTTCTTCACCTCCCCACACCAATTTCCATGCCTCTTTTAAAGACAAATTCAGTTATCTTCCTCTGTGGAACTGGCTCATCTTTGTTCACTTATCACTACAAATCTATCTCTACTACAATCCTTCCGCATTATATTATATTATCCATTCATTATTCACTTGATATTCTTTTCTACAGGCAAAGATCACACAGCACCTATCTGCGTCTGTAGCAACTAGCCCAGTATTGCCACAAAAAGTGTCTGCAATAAACGTTGGGAATTTTTCCTGAAAAACTTAAAACTCAAACATCTTTGGAAGAAAACCCCATCTATATCTACTTCACCTGTGCGACATTCATTGCAGATAAATTTTCCTCTTGGCATCTCAGTTAATCCAAGGCACTCCAGGTGGAAAGCCCCACAGCACTGAGCCTCACATAACAGCAGCTCACCCAGTTTCTCACAGTTCTGTTAAGAGAAAGAAAACAGGTATGTCTACAGAGAAAAGATTTTTAAAGTCCCAAGCAGGCGGCCTTCATGAAGGCAAAGATTAAGCAGCAGCTTTCCAGAAAGAAGAAAGCTCACCATTTATTCAGCCAATATTTAATGATTAACTCCTCTATGCGAGGTTCCACAAAGTCCCTGGCTCTCATGATTCATATATTCTAAGGATTGAAAATACAAGTAAACAAACAGGAAAGATATCAGATAATGATAAGCATTAAGTAGAGAATTCAAACAGCTACTTAGTGATTGGGAATGGCCTCTCAGACGGAGTTCTGAACTCCAAGTCAGTCACATGATCTGACAGAAAGACCAGGAAGACAAATACAGAAAGTCCACAGATAGGAAAACTATGTCATGTCTGAGAATCACAAGGAAAGTCAGTGGACTAAAATGAACAAAAGTCAGAAGTGGTAGAAGATGAGGTAAGAAAAAGGCAACTGATTGTGTGGCTTTACACATTATGCTACAGTTTCAAATTTTATTTCTAATTACAGAGGTGTGCCATTAGAGGGCTTTAACAAGGAAAGGCTAAAGTCAGATATTTAAAAACAGATTCCTCTGATTACTACATGGAAAATGAGTTCAAGAATGAGAAAGGTGAGAAGAGTAGCAAAGAGACAATCAAGAAGCCTACTGTAATAGTTCAAGCAAGAGATACTGGTCAGCTAGACTTGGGTTGTTAACAGTCTCAAAAGGGCTCTAATCAAGGTTTGAACAATGTTTGAGTTACATCTACAACCATCTCAGAGAGGTCACCTTTGAGATGATCTCATCTAAGACAGGGTGTCATTTATGATAGGGCGTTAGGAAATAAAGATCTGGCTCTGTTGCTTTCAAAACATAAGATTTATGAAAATTCTGCAAATTCCCAACATTTGTTACTTTCATTCCTCTAACATCCTGACGTTTCCCCATAGTGATCAGCAGGAAAATACTAAAAATGGAAAAGAGTCTTATTGTGGAAGACAAGAAAGAGGGAAGGCGACTAGATAAGTCTAATATCTTCAAGAACCCAAAGAAACAACAGGTCTTGGCCACTTAACATCAAACCTTAAATAAACAAATGAGTAGGAGAGCTTTGGGAAAAAATGCCAGAGGCGGCCAGGGATAAAGAGCAGACAGACCCCAAAGTCTTAACCTATAGTGTAAATTAGTCTTACACTTTGGCTCTTCCATTATCCCCTATTCACAGATAAAAATTGACAAATGCCATAAATATTACCTACTTTCTTTTCTTTATTCACAGTGTCAATGATACCAGCTCTTATGTACAATAAACAAATTCGCCATCACTATTTAAACAGGAAAACTTCAATTACAGTATATATCAAAGAATGTTTTCAAGTTAAGCAAATGTTACAGACTAACCCTTTAACAGGGATGACCATGTAATTTCATCTTTCAAAATGGCAACCATGTGAGTGAAAGGACGATATTAATAAATTAAACAAGGACAACAGATAAAGAGTGATCCAAACAATCCAGGACCACAAGGCAACTATCCCTTTAACCATTTTTTGTTGATAATCTTTGTGGCCATATAGTCTTTAAGGACTAACACTGTGTGTGGGTGCTGATCTGAATATGATCAACCTTCTTTATATAATAGTAAAAATGAAAAAACAAAGAAACTGAGTTGAAATTCTATTGTTTATCATAACATATTCTGGGCTTGGGTTAACTTTTATTTTTTAGCCATTTCAATAAGAAAAAAGAAAAAAAAAACTATCTTCAACTTTTTATAGGCCAGCTTTTAAGAATTTACAAAGGTAAATCAAGCCCATAAAAAAGAGAACATAACCAAAGCATCCATTTAATTGACTCTACTCCCAAGTCTGATAAAGGCTCTTTACAGAGAGGCAACACAACATAGTGATTAGCTCTAAACTCAGACTGCTTGAGTTTGAATCCTGGCTTTGCTGTGTGACTATAAGCAAGTTATTACATATCTCTATGCCTCAGTTTCCTCACCTATAAAAATGAGGACATGGTAGTCTACAAGACTGTTATGACTAAATGACTTAATATTTATAAAAGTTTTACTTTTATTTATTTTTAAAATTTATTTATTTTTCTGGAGGTAGGGAGGGAGAGAGAATCTTAAGCCTGATGTGGGCCTCGATTTCACAACTCTGAGATCATGACCTGGGCCAAAATCAAGAGTCAGCTGCCTAACCCAGGCGCCCCTGGAATATTTATAAAGTGATGGAAACTCTTGACACACAGTAAACACTGTATAAATACTTATTAAATAAATATAAAAAGGCAGGTGGTAGATTCTCTAAAGTCACTACTTTAAAGGTAAAGAAATCTTAAAGTGAAAATTTCCCTTGCAGCGTTCCTTAGAAACCCAGAGATTCTCAAACCATGAAACGTACAGGAAAATGATCTTTAAGCAATCACCAGATTCACCTTCTCCCATCTCAGACCGGCTTCATGGCATCTACTCATGGGTAACAAGGGCAAGTCATTGACCAACACTAAATATTTCTTCTCCTTTCTCTTTTTGTAAAAAGGGGTAAGACTTAGGGGCACCTGGGTGGCTCAGTCGTTAAGCGTCTGCCTTCAGCTCAGGTCATGATACCAGGGTCCTGGGATCGAGCCCCACAGCGGGCTCTCTGCTCGGCGGGAGGACTGCTTCTCCCTCTCCCACTCCCCCTGCTGTGTTCCCTCTCTCACTGTCTCTCTCTGTCAAATAAATAAATAGAATCTTTAAAAAAAAAAGGGGGGGGGAGTAAGACTTAAATCCTTAAAGGGAAATGACTCTACTGGAATCATCCAGGAAAATGTTTATTCTAACCATGACTGGGTTATCAAGAGATGGAGAGGGCTTCTCTTAAGAGACATGCAAGCAATCAAAATCCAAGTGGGCAACATCCTCTACCTGACAAACATTCTCCTTGAGTGCAGCTCCTCCGCCTCGTTCGCCCTGCAGCTTTTTAGATGCCGGCATCCCATGATCATTCTCTACACCCTCCTCAACAGTCTCCTTAGGGCTTGCAGCCGTTCTGTGTGTCATCAGTTCTCCCTTGCAGAGAAAAAATAATGTCCCACATCTGTATTATTGATGTCTCCTCCATCTGACCCCCTCCCTCTGGGCTGCTATTTGTCTAGCCATTAAGCACTTACAGATGTTCAGCCAATCACGCGGGCGGACTGCATGCAATGTTAGTTCTAACCCTGCTGTGATTGGGCGGGTAGTGGGCGCCTCATGCCCTGCCACTAACTGCTCTGAGGCTGTTCCACTGGAACTTTTTGAGCTGTTCCATTTTAAGGTTTCACTAAGGGAGAGAAAACATTCTTAAGTTTATTTGATTACTTATTTGTCCTTCCAAGATCAGTGTTTCCTAAATAATGCCCCCCTTGGGCATTCTATTCAAATTATCCTGGAAAGAAACACTCTGTATCATAATGTATAAACTGACCTCACTTGTTCTAATTCTCTTTTAACCTGAGTTGAAAAGCCAGAGATAGCATCAATGACTGCACTGATGCTCTACAAGGAAATGGTTTTAAATCTACCTTTGTTTTTTGTTTCCTTAAAGCCAATGTTTACAAACATTAGTCTAAAATTAAGCAGTTGATGGTCTCAAGAAATAAGCAAATGAGTTTCCCTTCTAATTGTAGCAGTCTCAACTTTTAAAGGCCAATACCCAAGTTCATTCGGATCATATGGTTACTTGGTATTGTGCTTTGGTTTTAGAAAAAGCTTACTTCATGATGAAAGTTATAAAATTTATCAGACACCTAGAGCATAGGATCTGATCTTTTAAAAAGATCATACCCATAGTTGCCATATATGTCTTCTTACAGCTATTAATTAGCTTGTTTCAGTAGAACATTATTCTTAGGTAAACTCAAGGGAAAGAGGGGTGTGGCCTCTACTGTGAAAAGTAGATTTTCTTTGGAAGGTCAAAAGATGAGGAACTGAGTAATACCTCTGAGGTTGGAGTTTCTTTTGATGAGTCGTCATTTTTCATTTTTTTACAGTGCACCTTGGCTGTAGCATGCCTCTGTCGTTTTCGCTTCCTTGGTTTATCAAATATCTTGGTAGTGCCTATGACAGGAAAACATGCGTTACCTGCTGGCTATGCACTCACAAGTCCAGGAAATCCTACCTTCAACCAAAAGGACCTCATAGAATTATGGAATGTTAAAGTAAAAAACCAGTCTTAAAGTCCATTTAATTCCCCAACTTAGCAGATGAGGAAAAAGGGCACATTTACCCATGACTATGTAACTAGTTGGGGAAATAGCTACACATATATAAATTCTATCTCATACAGATTAAATGGTAAATGAATACAGTAGGTTAAAGCAGTTTCATTTTATATGACTGAAGTGAAAGACTTCATAGTTCCTCAAAGGACTTTAATATCCTATAGATGGGGAGGAAATACTTAGTAGTCAGAAAAAGATACTAAAACCTGACCTCCACAATTAAAGACAGTAAATTATATCACTATATGATTTAAGGATTAAGATAAAAAGCAGAAATACAAAAATCTGGCCTGGGGAAAGGGGAGACCTCCCCCAAAACATTTAATGGCTTAAAGGATATTCATGCAATAGTACTAAAATCTTGAACATCCAACAAAATGTATGATCTAACCTGGCATATTTATAAAATGAAATTCCAGTCTCTCCCTGATTGTCTATTATATATATTTCAACTTTTTGTTATAGAAATATCAAGAGGAATCTCAAATGATATTTCATAAAATATTCCAGGATAATTAGGCTAGGTATCAACATGAAGGCCAGACTTTGGAAAACTGGCTTAGTACTCTCTTTCTTGGGATTGCCTGATAGAGATGGAGAAGCTCTGCTATCAAAGCTGCCAATCACCTATGACTAAAAAATTAATATGATAGCAGAATAAAGGTTCAAAATTCTCAGAAGCTGAAACAGTTGATGAAATTAATAAAAGATAAAGTACAGGTTGTATGTTTTATAAAAGCTGGACTACAAAAATATTAAGAGCTGACATTTTGAAAGGTTTTTTGTTTAAAGCAAGCAAGCCAATTGGTGAATCTATGAAATTATATATGAACACAAGCTTAACATAAGCTAACATACTACTAGATTTACTTACTAGAAAACTTAATAATCATGGGTCATATTTAAAGATGTGCTCATTTAAGGGGTGCCTGGGTGGCTCAGTTTATTAATTGTCTGCCTTTGGCTCAGGTCATGATCCTGGGGTCCCAGCACTGACCACTGCATCAGGCTCCCTGCTCAGCTGGTAGTCTACTTCTCCCTCTTTTTTTTTTTTTTTAAAGATTTTATTTAT